GACGAACATCAATGACATTTGACACAACGTGAAATCCCGTAGTTTGGTAGAGAACCCTTCTTTTGCACAAGCCGGCAAGCAGCCACCGACGTCGCGAGCGGCACGGTTTCTAAATATGCACCGGTGGAGGCTGTGGAAGGTTTTGGCGGCCAGCCAGAAGGGTTTCAGACGTCAATTTGCCTTCTTCTGAAACGCTGAACAAGATGGTGTACTTGCAACCGCCGGGCGATCAAGCCGGACCCTCTGCCGTTGTCGCGCCTGTCTGCTGATGAAACGTCTGTAGTAGACTCATGCCGCTGGTAGTCCTCCGCTGCTCGAGTGGCAACAGCCAATGAGTGCACATCGCGTTCCTTTCAGGCTCGACGTCCGAAGAGGAGTCGAGCGCACGTGAGAGAAAGTTCCGTGCCGGATGCTAGCGCGCCAGTGCCCAAAGCCAATGGTGCCAGGAGAAAGGGTTCCACTCCAGGCCCTACCACGACTGCGTGCACCAGACACGACTGCGCTCTCGCCCGCAGCCTGCCAGCTTCTCCTATTTACCCTGCGTGTGCAGTTTTCGAATGTGGCATCCTCGCTGAAGACGACTCGGCGCGACGCTTTGCGATTTGGATTGGCAGCAGCGCCCGCTCGCTTTCAGGATCAGGACTGGTATCCCGCTCTGCTGCAGCCCGACCCTCGCATTGCTGCTTACTCGACGCGACCCCCATCTCCGGACGCTGCGTCCTCGACACCACCCCAGCGCCCTCTGTCTCAGTGAGAGTTGACCCAAACCTCGCTCAACATCGCCCCGCCACTTACCTGCTCACTCCATTGAGCACGGGTCCCCCGCTATTCACCACACTCACCCTCGACTGCCTGGCCGCACCAGAAGCAGTGAACGATTCACGAAGCTATTGTAGCTATTGTATAATTCGACTGTTGTTGCTACAACGATAGTCTGCCCATGTGAGTCCCCTGGCGCTCCTTCCTCAGCTGTCGTCTGGCTGCTCCAAACACCGCCTTTCAACCCCAAACGGCAGCAGCGTCACCTGCCCCGTTTCAATCAGACTGCCACTCGCGAGACCGGCCGCTGACCACATTGCTCCAGCATGTATCCCAATGGACATTTCGAGAACACCCGTGCAGCACCAAAACCACCCATCCAAGCACCGCAATCATCCACCAGGACCAACCTCTTCCCCGACACCAACCCCAACATGCCGGGCAACATGGTCGGCCGGAGTATGCAGTCGCCTGGTTTCAACAACGGCTCGCAAATGTCGCTTGTACGCACACAGTCCGAGAGAAGCGTCTCGACAACGGCCACAGTCAAAGAGGGCATGGTCAAGGTCAAGGATGCAAACGTGTTCAGAAGTATGATTTGGGCCGAGCGGTGGCTGGTACTGCGCGAATTCGAGCTGAACTTTTTCAAGAGCCCTAATGCCTCCAAAGCATCAACCACGATTCAACTGCGAGACATCCTCGGCGTGGAGCGATCAGACACGCAGCCTTTGTCCTTTGAAATCACCAAGGCTGCCAATACCAGCAAGGGCTCGTCCCCGCCCCGCGATGGCCCTACAAAGATCATTACATGCAAGGTCGAGACTGACGATGACGTCTACTCGTGGATCGACAGCATCTACCAGCGCTGTCCCAGCATGGGCGGTGTCAGCAACCCCACCAACTTCACCCACAGAGTGCACGTAGGCTTCGACCCTAACAGCGGAGCGTTCGTCGGTCTGCCGGTAGAATGGGAGAAGCTTCTCACCGCATCTGCTTTAACTAAAGACGACTACGCGAAGAACCCCAAGGCTGTTCTGGAAGTTTTGGAGTTCTACACCGAAAAGCTTGTCAAGCGCTCCGAGGACCCTCAGCAATACCCGAGTCTCACTCCGACCCCGCCAACAAATGCTGGAATGGAGAAACAGCTTGGATACGGTGGCAGCGGCAATTCTGTTGCGCCTCCGCGCCCTGCACCGCCTGGCAATTATCAGCGAAAAGACAGCTACAGTCAAGGCTATGGCGGTCAACAAAACTCGGCTTCGCAGCAACAAAACCGCTACGAACAGGATCGCTACGAACAAGATCGCTACGAACAGGACAGGAGGAGGCAAGAGGACCAGGTCAGGGCACAGCGCGAACGCGAACTCCAGCGGCAGAGGCAGGAGTACGAGCACCAACAAAGGCTGCAGGCTGAAGCTGAAGCTGATTGGGAGAACGATATTCCAAAGAAGGTTACTCCAGCGGCGAAACAAGAAATTGGCGGAGGCGGCTATTCGCGAGATCAGAGCCCGTCAGGCCAGAGGTACAACCCCAGCCGCCCTGCGCCATCCACTCCCGGTGCAAGAGGCCCACAGCAGCAGCCCCCGCGGCAGCCAGTCGCACAGCGTCCAGCACCTTCTGCACCTCAGCAACAGAATGGTGGCTACAGCACATCTCCTTCCAAAGCGCAGTCAACTCAGCAACGACCACCCATGGCCTCGAAGAATTCGAGTGGCCAGGTTCCCAGGGTTGCTAATGGTCAAAACCAACAGCAAAAGCAATACCAGCCAGGTGCTGCACCCAAGCCGTTGAACGTTGCTAAGCCTCAGAATGCTCCTGTCAGTGATGCAGTGAAGAAGGCCGAGCAGGCCCTTACTGCTAAGCCCAAGGAGGAGCCAGCACGGAAGGATGTGCGCATGTCCAGCATGTCCGAAGGCGAGGTCATGGCGAAGCTCCGGGAGGTCGTATCCAAAGAACGGCCACTGGACTCGTACAACAAGCAAAAGAAGATTGGTCAAGGTGCTAGTGGTTCCGTGTATGTTGCTCGCATCCGTGAAGGTGCCACTTCGCCCATGGCCCGAAGGGTTATGCAAGAAAATGGCCCACGTGCACAGGTCGCTATCAAGCAAATGGATCTCCGCAACCAGCCACGCAAAGAACTTATCGTAAACGAGATTATCGTCATGAAGGACAGCAAACACCCCAACATCGTCAACTTCTTGGACGCGTTCTTGCAAGAGGAGCAGTCCGAGCTCTGGGTCGTCATGGAGTTCATGGAGGGAGGTGCTTTGACCGACATCATTGACAACAACCCTTCCATTAGCGAAGACCAGATCGCGACGATTTGCTTCGAGGTAAGCTATGTAGCATGGACTTTCGGGAATCTACACTGACAATCATCAGACCTGCAAGGGACTTGAGTACCTTCATAACTTGAACATCATCCACCGAGACATCAAGAGTGACAATGTCTTGCTCGATGGCCGTGGCAATGTCAAGATCAGTATGTACCCGCCACGTAACCTCCATCGACAGCTTGCTAACCTTTAACAGCCGACTTTGGTTTCAGTGCGAAGCTCACCGAGCAGCGCAGCAAGCGTGCGACTATGGTTGGAACTCCATACTGGATGGCCCCTGAAGTCGTCAAGCAAAAAGAGTATGGCAACAAGGTCGATATCTGGTCTTTGGGTATCATGGCCATTGAGATGATCGAGTCTGAACCACCGTACCTGAATGAGGAACCGCTCAAGGCTTTGTATCTCATTGCCACCAATGGCACTCCTCGTCTCAAGAAGCCAGACAAGCTCTCGAAGGAGCTCAAGGCTTTCTTGTCGGTCTGCCTTTGCGTCGACGTAAAGTCCCGAGCGAGTGCCGGAGAGCTGATCAGCCACGACTTCCTCAAGAGCGGATGCAGCCTAGCGAGCCTATCTCAGTTGCTTAACTTCAGGAAGAACGGCGGCCACTAAACCCCTACTGGGCACACCACTACAGCATGAAGAGTTCTTCCGGTTAGAGCCACAAGAGTAATGGCGAGCTGTTTCATGCTTCTGGACTTCGATACCCTTTTCATGTACATTTTCCCAGCTATACCCAAACTTCTCGGCTTCCGTCCTTACCGAACGATCGACGACATACCACGAAACCTAGGAAGGCGTCATTCGCTTGGGCAATATCAGTCTGGTCATCTGTACCCTCTGGTCGCTACGGAATTTGCCTCTATACATCCCATGTAACTACTCCATCCGCTATTCGCCTTCTCGTCCGTCTTTCAGAGCGCCAAATCAAGCACCCTACGAGTGATACATCTGCCTCCAAAGTCTACAAACGGTGCTCAAAGATTATGGAATTTGGAGGAGTGAGGTCCATTGCTCAACTACAGTACCAAGTCCTTCCCTTCGGGCCCGATATGCGTGCGCGCCAGGTAACTTGTCATGTTTGTCTTTTTCAATGTTCCACAGCGTAGCGACATCACACGGTCTGGCAATCTTAAGCATCCAGGCGCAACATCTAGGGCTCTTCGTAATTAAATCCTTTGGGAGTGCATGTGGATACCGGTAGATTCAATGGCAATGTCATAAAAGTCCAATGCGAGCTCTTCTTCTTTCGTGCTTGGCTGGCCACCAATGTCGCAACATGGCTGACCATTCGTCACGTGCCATGAACACTACACCTGATCCCACCTCATCAATGTCTCCACCTAATGTCCCTTAGTAGCGAAATTGAATTGCTCTTGCAGGTTACAACAGACTTGGGAACATCTGACAACCGGTAATGCATATCCAGGGTGGCTCTCTATATCTGCACCAGTCAGGACAAGGTGAGCAGAGTTACAGTGTGGGTCTACGACTGCGTTTGGTCGCGTCTATCTTCTCCTGATATGGATGTGTTGCTGCATCCGCGCAGCGAAAACTCATGGTGCTGGTTTGGTCTAAGGACCGCTGTGTGAGCAAACGGAGGTAGAAAACTGTTCGTTTACTAACAGGGAAGAGATTGCTTCCGTGGAATACTTTTTAACATTGAGATCTAGACGTTATGGAATGGATCGACTTTAAGTGATGGATAATGCTTTACCGCAGAAATGCTTGAGATGTGCCGGAATGACAGGACGATGATGACTCGCTAAGATGCATCCGATTAGAATATATGACGTAAGAAATCAGAAAGAGATGAGATCTTGACAGCGCTTTCTAAAATGGAAGAAACGGTAGCTTTAGGGACTTGAGAAAGTGCGACGGACTGATTGCGGCAGGTTTGGCAGCTTGTCAACCCAAGCACAGCAGATGCGGGCTCAATGCGATGGTGCTAGACTTGGGACTAAGCATTTCGTCCCACCAGCCGTCGTCGCGCTGGCATGACGTGTCCTGGTTTGCAAGCCAGGTGCGCATACCACTGATACGCCTGAGCACGGGTGGGAGTGTGTTCTTGTCGCCTTCCCGTATTGGTACGACGCGCTGGTATAGGCGGTCGCGCTTGTCTGAGTTTGCAGTGACTGCAGCGATAAAGAAGGGCCAGACGGGGTAGATGGCGGTGTATAGTGGACCTTTGACTGGTAAGGAGAGGATCAAGGTGTGGAGTGCGTCGGAGAGCTCGAGGATGGAAGAGTGGAATCTTGTGAATCTGAGGGCATGTTAGGATGTGAATGTTGCGGGTTAGATGATGAGCTTACCCGTAGACGCGGCAGCGCAGGTAGATGAGCGCGGCGAGACGAAAAGCCTCTGCTGTAGCGAGCAAGATCTCCTTCTCCGGTCCATCTGGCTCTGAACTCCACTGCTTTAGATCTTGAAGCTGTTTCTCTTGTGCTTGGGCGTACATGAGTTTGTTTAGTCTGTATGGGCCCGTCGGAAGTGATGTTATGGATGAAATGAGGAAGAGCAACTGAGGTGAGACTCCCAGAGTAGTCGAAGTCCTGGAAGATTCGCTTGGCGATATACTATCCAACCAGTTCGTGGTCTCGAACGCATGCTGCCGAGTGTTGCTTAACTGGTGAGAAGTTCGTGCGGTACTTGCCAAGATGAGCTGAGCGTGCAGGAACATGACAGTGTCAGAGTTGTGGGTGATTGCTTCCGGGGGAATCGCATCGAGCACATTAGCGTGACATGACCAGCACATCAGGGAGTCGTCTTGATTGATCAGGCCGTGGTGCATCAGTAGCATGCTAGTAGCCAGGGCACCGTTATAGTGATGACCATCGCTGATTTGTGATGCTAGAGCTTGAAGTGCTTGCGTCGAGTAATACAGTTCCGCTTGGTGATAGGTATCCTTGTCTTTCGGCATTTGTTCGCAGAGGTATGATGCTGAGAGACTGAGGATAGCGTAGCGTGTGCTTAAGCAAGTATCCGCAACCTGTAATAACGACGTGTACACATTCGTCTGCGATGCAACGGTGCGACCCGGGCAGATGCCCCTGACATAGAAGTCGATGAGGAAGTTTTCCATATCTGCGGCAGCGGGGACCGTGCTAAGTGGGAAATACTTGATGAGACTTGCGGGTCCTGTCTCCTGTGAAGATATGCTGTCACGAGAACGGACAGATCGCGTCGGACTACGTGAGCATATCTGTAAAGCTTCTACAGTTAGCATTGGTGAATCGACTGCTCAGATTAGCAAGCTACGTTTGATACTCTCACGGTGAAACGCATACCTTTAGCGCCGATAAGATCCGACAACTCGGACAGAAAGTCTTGACAAGCGTCCGCCTTCGATCTCTGAATGTATCGAATGCGCTGAATCACCAGCGCTACTGCGTTCGCGTCTTTCACCAAAGTAACGTATGGCTGTCGTTGCTGAAGTGCTGCTTTGAACTTTTCGAACTGGTTGCTATTGAGCTCGCCCAACCGCCAATATAACTGACCCAGGACTTCAAGAAGCACAACGCCGGGGCCTTCACTAATCATCCACTGTCGGATGACAAGCAAATTTCGCCTGCTGTTCCTTTGGTTTCCCTCGGTTGGTAGGTCGACTACCCGCCCAAGGAGTCGGTCGATATGTGTGCAGTCTAGACTTCCGAAGTCCGCGGTTATTGAAAGATGTTGGAGAGCGTCGTTGGCAGCCTCGAGAGCTTTGGCGAGCCGTCTGTCTGCGTCCATAGTGATGCGCTGCACGGTCGATCGCGTCGGTAACAGTACGTAGTATGTGTTAAATATATATGCCGTGACTCTGGAAAGATAATTACAACCGTACCAGACGGGTGTTGCGGGCTGGGCTCCACCGAGGATTGTTATATCGCGTTTGGCCCAGAGAGAAAATATGTACTGAACAATGGGCCTACACTGAAGTAAATGGACAAGGGGAGGTGAAGCATAAACAAGAGACAGAAGCGCCAGAGGCACGGTACCTTGTCCAGCATCGCGTCTGAAACTCTGCAAGCATACGGTGCACGCAGGTGAAGCTCCGCCTTGCTCGCCATGATGAAAATGCACATCAAGAGGCTGACTTCATGCAGGCTGGGCTGCAGATGAGGCCGTGTAAGTCCCCGATTTAGGTCACCACAACGTTAGCTAGCGCGAATTTGGCGAGATAGAACGGATGTGGTCATGAAACAACATGTCGACTTCCAGTTTCCCAAACGCTGACAGGAGACGGCGCGCCACCACCTGGGCGTAGTACCCGTAAGGCTGGAAGGATGGGGCTATTCAGCGCAGACGTGCGGCACAGGGCTTGGAGACGCATGGAGCACATGGCACGGCGCACGTCGACAAGGAATTGTTCGCGATAGCGAGAAGAACGTTTATGGACTTGAGTCGTCTCTCGCCGGGAACGGCTACGGTTGGCGAGTCTCGGTCATTGTTGTTGGCGACGTACAGGAAGGGCGAGCTTGAAAGAAAGGGTGAAAGCCGGCGAGCCAGCCGAAAGAGGAAAGGTGCACACTTTAGCGACGACGGTGAGGATCACTCAGCCACATCCCCAGCTTGAGTTTCCCTTCAATCGGGATTTCACCCAAAGACCATGCCATCGGCGCGCCGCTTCTGCAACGTCGGTGCACACTGCTCTCCGCACCACCGACATCCTCCTCAGGGCCCGAGCGAGGCAATCGCTCTCCGACGAAGAGTACATGCGCGCAGAGCCTCGGATGCCGAAGAACGGCCTGTCGGGGGCATCCGCTCCTCGTAGGTCTGAGCGGCAAGCATCAACCTCTCGTTCCTACGTAGCTGGCTTGATACCAACCCGGCTGTCCGCTTCCTGCCTTCACAACGAGCGTGAACTCGTTGAACATTATTAGGCAGATGTGATCCACTTAAGGTTCATGGATGCCTCTGCTAGCTCTCAAGGCGACGACCTACTTCAAAGTCCTTTCACCAGGTTGACCGCTAGATGCACCTGTCACAAGATCAAGACGACACAGCCACGATTTGGTCCCAGGCATTTCTAGCTGCGGCCCCAGGGATTTCAAGGTCAAGGCAGCTCTTATACATCTAATAGGTATATCTGCGCAGGGGCCGAGTCGATTGTGAAACGCTAAACCGAACTGTTTAAGGAAAAGTGACTTCGATGAACAGTGCATTTGTTGATAAAAGTATGGAATTCGACAGACACTAACGAGACGCACAATCCTACTACGACGCCACAAGGGCTGCCACAGGACATGGCCGTTATTCCATCTTCAGCTGCTCGACGCAAAACCACATCTTCATAGCCTACTAAGCATTTGGTGCGCTTCAAGCGATGTCTTCAGGTCGTTTGACACGCTGGTACGCCGCACTGTTCCACCCTTTTTCAGCAAGGTGGTATGTGCTAGAATTATTAACAGTAAGCTTTCCCATTGACCTAACGCCCTTATGAGCACGTATCCAGAGGTCTGAAAACACTCGACCAGGATGAAACACCGTCAGTGCAGCAACTGCAAGGACTATCATTGGCCCTTCGAAAACCACGAATGTGGCTTCGTGATCAATCAGAGCTCCGCCGAAACCGGTCCAAAGCTCAGCGACACGATATATGCAGCGCACATAGATGGGCACAGTTGCGACAAGGAGATTCCACAGGGAACAGATCGAGTTCTTTGTCGAACGAAGGTGGATGTACAATGGTGGCTGGGTGCATGACAAGCTGCTTGAGATCTTCGCATGCCGCACACGGAGAGGAAATTCGCCCCAAAGAGCCAGGAAAAGAGTGATGGTGATAACTTGGGACATCAGACCAGCAATCATGATGTTGACTCCCGTTCGTGAGCTGTCTTTCTCTCCTGCAGTTGTGGCCATGCCACCGCCAATAGCCTATGGGACAAGAGCGAGCAGATCGCAGCCGACGAACGGGTAAACATTTTGTTCTAACCTCGGATAATCGGCTCGGACGACTACGACGATGCGTCCGAACGAGAGATAGATGCCGGCAGTCAGGAGAGCAGGTGATATGGTAAGCGCAATGCGGTTATTGGATTCCGTTAGACATAGACGCGATATACGGACGGGGTAGCCTACACAATGAAGAAGTTCATGCTGAAAGAGTTCAGGTTGAGCATGACGCGGCCGATGTACCCCACGGCCTCTCCGAGGGCGTCAGCGCACATGGTACCCGTGAACGACCAGGTCTTGTTCCGGACGCCATACAACAGCTGTCCACCAATCAGTGCCAAGCAACAGAGCATGTAGATTACGCTTTCCCCCATGTTGGTTGATATTCGATGACTTGCCAGGACTCTGGATATTTGCCAACTCTGGACATGTCTTCAAGGTTGTGCTCGAACGCGAATAAGCCCTCAACGACACTGTGATCTCACTCCATCCGTTCGGTGCACCGTAGTAGCGTCCGCTGATCTCGCAAGTGGTTTGCGCATCACTGCTGTGAGCTTTGGCGTGTGCCTGCGGCTGATACATAGCCACCCTAGTTCAAGCGAACAGAACTGGCGCAGGCGCAGCGGGAGGCTGCCGTTTACAAGCCTTCGAACATGCGGATATGAACCTGATTGGTCAAACCTGAGGAAATTTCCATCGGCTTGACTGGTTGAACTGAATTATCAGAATAGCAACGAAACAAAAGGGTGCAGGCTGAAGCGAAGAGATCTACAACGGCGAACGCCATTGTTGGGGGAGCTGGCCAATCACGCACAGTCCAACCTCCCCACTTCGCCTTGTCTCCGTCCTCAGGCCTCCCAGGCGCAGCGATCCTTCGCACAACAAACATCACTCCTTCATTGGTGCTATCGACGCAGACAGAAGTCGGGAGCGGTCTCTGCGATCATCGCAAGCCTGCTCGTCGTGCAAGGATCAGGACGAGCCAGCCCTTCTACGAGATCAACACGCCGGTTGCAGCTTCCATGAGATCTCCTTACTCCTCGAATCTTATCCCGTCTCTTCACTTCGCTATTCTACCATCTCCACGGCATCCACTGCTTTTGAAAAGTTGCCGTGCTGGCTGCTGGGCCTACGGGATAGATCATCATGTTGTCGCCATTGCGCACGCTGTGCTCCGGATCTGGAGACGTGATAGATTGCCATTGGTATGTACTGCTCTAAACCATGTAATATTGTGCAAATTCATGTTCCCGAGTATTGTCTACTTGGAAAGCCTGCATTCTGTTCATAGGAAAGCCCAGAACTGTCGCAATGTAACAGTTTATACCTTCTTTCGGCGTTGCGCGTCTACTTCGATTACCAGCCCTTCATTACTGTTAGTCGACGTCGATCCAAGTAACTCTGGTTCCGCACTGGGTATCGGTATATTTCGAAACTTTTCGTCTCTCTTGCACCATTCTCATGTTCCTGTGGCTGCTAGTCCGGGCACAGGATCTGGCCCTCTGGTCGGTATACAACGGGTATACGAGCTAGTCCATAATCGGTGACTTGCTCGATCAAAACTTCAACAAGGGCTATCGCAGAGCGCTCCGCGGACAAGAGAGCCTTATGATAGACGAACGACCTTCTGCTGGTCACTTTGAAGATGCCCCTTCTCTCAAAGTGCATTGAGCAGGCTCATTCAATAGATGAACATTCAGCCAACTCGGACTAAGCAATTACGCATATGCCTGTCGCGATGTAAGGAGCTTATTCTGAGACGAGAGTACAGTGCACATGCTCGAGAACTTTGTTTTAATCCACATCTCCGAAGATGACAAATGAAGATGATGAACCTGCTCCATCCCAAATCGTCGGCGCAAACACATTTAGACCAACCGGGTCTAGCGTCTTGGCAGACCATCCCTCCCATCACCCACTGGCAATGAAGCTGCTGAGCTAATTGCCAACCCTTAGCTCACTGGCATTCAACGTTTTCTTTGTTTCTTTCCACAAGTTGTCGATCGAGACACTTAGTTCATTCACTTTGGAAACGTTCGCCTTCGAGGCAGACCAGAGATGTTACTCCTCGGAACATAGTGGATCACATTGTTGGTTCACCAGAGAAAGCTTTCAGATGACAACATATCACAGGGCGGAAGGCGAAGGCGTATGGACAGGAGGATTGGTGTCGTTATCGCCGAACCGATAATGTTAACATGTCGCTCGAGACGTGTATTCAATTTAGCGGTTAGGCGAGGGTTTGTGCATCTCAAAGTCTTGCAAGCTGGTAGAATGGAGTCTTCTACTTTACACTAGCTGGATGTCTTGTTCCTCGACGTCCCAATTCACCCATTCCTTGCTGTAGTCGTGACCTAGTGGATACCAAAAGATGGGCTCGCCATCACCCTTGTACGAATGTGAGCCCAATAACATAGTCGACCCGATATATTTGTATTGTTGCTTTCGACAAGTCTGTCGCAAGATGCAGGGCAAGCAACAACCAAAGATGATTGCGCATGAATCGTCGTACTCGGTAACATCAGGAGCCAGACCCATGTATCCGCGCCTGGTAATGATGAATCGCCTTCCTTGTACGTAGCCCTGGATGTAATCCCAAACGATCTTAGCACTAGATAATAGATCATCGTCGATGGCGTTTTCATGGCCTACCGATCCGTCAAGACAGTCGGCGTTGCGACGTGTAATGAATGCATCCCTAGCCCGAAGCCAATATTCCGCATTTCCACCCATTCTACCGAAGCACAGACAATCTAAGAAGGCCTCTAGAATGTGAGAAGTTCCGTAAGGCGAAGTGTTGAGCGTCTGAGAGACCATGCCCCAGATTTCATCCAATATTTGCCACTTCTCCTCTT